CTCGGCTCTGTCTTTGGCAAGACTCTTGTTAGGTCAGTTTAGTCAAATCCCCCTTTACCTCTGATGTTTCCTCTTAGTAGTTTTCTACCCACTAACCCCTATCCTGCTCCTTGGCTGTACATTCCCACTTGCCCGTGCTGTATTCTGAGTTGAGCACCATCTCTCTCCTCTATGCAAAATTCCAGCCCCGTGTTCCCTATACCCATCACAACAGCCCCTCTTGAGGAAAGTCTTCCTTACCGTGCTTTAACAAGTGTCATTGAATAATTATTCTCCTTTAACAACCTGTCCTCATCATAAAGAAAATAGTACTTGATGTAAGAACAAGACTTTGCCTTCTTTAGGTAAAACAAGGTTCCCTGGGTTGAGAGGAGGGGAATCAGATGTGCATTGAGGAAAAAGCAAGGAATATTTAAAGGATGGCGTATTTCTGACAAGGTTCTGTGCCCCCTGCTTCCTCCGGCTCAGAGGCAGAACGGACTCCATGTTTCGGGCTCCTTGTTGGTACTCATCAAAGGTTTGGACTTTACGTCTTCTTTGCCCCATATGCAAAGCCTTTGGCTCGCTCTTCAGGTTGTAAAGACTTTTGCAGTTACAGAAATCTCAACCAGGGCCACCCAGGAAAAATACTGGATCAGTTATGACCCCAATTCACCTTCCTAGGCCACTGCTTCCCTATAGCTTGATGTTTCTTGATCTACCCCATAACTAGATTTGTTCATTTTTACTTTCATCTTTGAACAAACGTTATCTCAAAGCGCTTCAGCTTTTCCATATGTGTTAGTTATATGTGTAATTTTTTTATCTGCCTTTAGTCATCCATTTACGGCTTTTAAATTCCATGTTTCTAGCCCATTGTTTCGATGCCTGTGTTATCTACAAAAATGCCTCACATGTGGCGGGCAATAAATATTTATTGAACCACATTATTATCTACTCTCCAAAATATTTACCATAGGTCCTGGATCTGTGCCATTTGCACACCTGGTAATATTCTTGAGTTTTACTTGAAGTTTTTTTATTAACAGTGACTGTTAACTCTATGGGCTTATATTCATAAATCTGAATTAATTTCTATCAAAGCAAAAAAAAAAAAAAGGAACAAGACTCAAAACTCTCACTATTAGACTTACCCAGATGGAGCTATAAGGAGAGAGACAGAAATAGAGGGAACTCTGTTGGGGGCTATTATAGATTGTTTCACCTCTGTACGAGAGCATTCTGGGAAGCTCACATAGAAAAAAGCCACATAGATAATTTGTACATTTTAGTTTTCCTTAGCAATGCCCGGAGTGCCTAGTGCTACTAATGTTGGTTACATCTCAAAGTCCCTGAATACACAGACATGAAAGAAACACTTTTACAAGAAAGCTGGGCATATTAAGAAGAAAAAAAAGCCTTTGTAAGTCAGGAGAAGCTGAGCTTGTTAGCCGCACACAGCTCTGTAATACTGTTCTCCCAAGCTACTCTCCTACAATTCCTGTCTCCATATGTTCTGTTGGAATCTAAACGGTGCTGAAGTTGGAGGTGATGCTGTTCGTCTTCTGTATTGTAGCCGTCCATCTCTGTTCCCTTCCATCTCCCCCTGAAGATATGCCTAAATCTTCACCCGGTGCCCTGCTGCTCTCTGACTTCTGTATCGCAACTGAGCAGGATCTCAGGGCAAATATTGACTGACTTGACTATGTACACGAAACATGAATGAATTCCAATAAAAGAGTTACCTCAGCCTGGTATTCACCTCGTGTCTCTTGTGGAATGAAAAGTTTGGAAAGATTCTCAGGCATGTCTAGGGGAAAAGACTAAATTTTGGCATCTGACTCTACCTCTTGGAATAAGACGGATTCCGAAGTTAAATCTAATTTAGAACTTTTATTTCAGGGTGACCAACTTGGGCACAGGCCATTCTAGCCTCTGCCGCATAGGCCCTGGGTAGGTGATAAAGGAGCTGTCAGTCGTTTGGCTTGGAGCAGAGGCCATGAGTCGGCTCTCTCCGAGATACTCCATTCTCCCCACTTCCATATCCCGCCTTAATCCCAGCTCTACCCCTTCCCCTACCGAAAATCTTCCAGATACGTGTTGTGTATTTTTCTTCACATTAGAGTTTCTGATTTTGTGAGACCTATCAACTCCATATATTATATTACTCTACAGTTGATAATATTTCTGATCGCAAATGTGGTTTTTGTACATGCGTGATCTTCATTTCTAATAGTATTCCTCTTATGTCATAGTCTCTAATTGGTATAGATCTTATCTTCCGAAGTAATTTATAACTCCTTTGGAGATATGACTGCTTTTGAATGTCTCTAACCCATAGCATTTACATATGTATATATCTTCTAGGCTATATGCTTCAGGATGTATAGTCCTAGATACTTTCATATACAGAAATACACATAGAAGGTCATAGTTAGAAATATGCAGCTTCATTGATAGAAGATACATTCATAACAGGCAATAGAGTATAGAGATTAGAGCATAGGATCTGAAGCCAAACTCCGTTGGTTCAAATCCTTGCTCCATTCCTTTGCATTATAAGTTTGGGGCAATTTATTTAATCTTTTTATATCTCACTTTTCTCATCTATGAAATGAGATCAGTGATATCTCACTCATAATGTTGTGAGGATTAAATTAGAAAATGCATGTAATGTAAAGCACTTAAGAGTTCCTCGTATATGGTTAAATGTTCAGAAAATTTTGGCTCTTTTTGTCTCCATTTACATCTCCATACCTCCTGATGCTCACATACATATACATCCCCCTTCACAAACTCATTCATTAATATGGCAAGCGTTAGCTGGATACCCGTTACTAGATACTATACTGGGAATATAGGACTTAACAGGACATGATCTCTTTCATAATGGATTTTACAGTCTCATGGAGGAAGATTACAGAGAAACAATGATTACAGGGGGCTGTGTGAACATATAGGAGAGGCATGTTGTGGTGCCTGGGCCCTGGGATTCTGAGGAGAGGTATCCTTTGAGCTGAGTCTTGAAGGCTTGGTAGAGGTTAGCCAAGAGAAAGGATGTTCCAGGTAGAAGGCAGCATGTTTGAAGGCATGGAGATGGGAGAGCTGTTCAAGGAACTTAGGGAGTTATGTTTTACACTGAGGGAGAGGTTGGAAAAGTGGTGGTAGATGCTGCTGGACAGATGGATCTCGACTGAACCATAAATGCCCAGTACACGAGGCCAGGAGTGCGGACTGTCTTCCTGTAATTGGCAAGGAGCCATTGAAATGTTTGAGCAGAGGAGTGATATGGTCAGATTTGGGTCTGGGGAGGATCCTGGTAGTCTACTTTGGATAATTAATTGGAAGGGAACAAAATTGGAAGAATAGCCCAAAGATAAGTTAAGAGTCTAAACTAAGACAGTGACAATACAGATAAAGAGGAGGGTGTGGACTGGAGAAACGTTTCTGAGATAAATTCAACAGGGATTTAGCAACCATTAGGATGTGGTGGGGAGAAGGGGAGACATGAGGAAGAGGGTAGAATGAAGGAATTTCCTCAGGGTTCTGGCTTGGATGGCTGGGAGTGGTGGTGGCATTTGCTAGGAGGAGTATTTGGCAGGAAAGGAAGATGGTGAGTGCACTTTGTCATATTGTGTTAGAGGTGCCTGTGGAAGATGGAGACCATACTTGATGGTGCAACAGAACTATCCAACAGAACTATGGATTAGATTCAGTAGACCAGTGGTTAGCCTAACGATCTACATTTCTTTAAAAATGCCCCAGGTGGTTCTAATGTAGCCAGTTCACAGTGTGTAGGGAGATATAACAAACAGAATAGGAAATAGAGATTTAAAAATGTCTGCGTATGTACACTTGAAGCAGAGATTATGAATGAGGTCACACAGAGACAGTGAACAAGAGAGCAGAGAAAGGGACTAGTGATCCAGACTCTTACAATTGTTCCAACAGTGATTTTTCTTTGCATTACCAAAACAAGGGAACCGAGTGGTTGACCTGGAATGGGGGATTGCGATACAAGTGTTAACCACCCATGGTACCTGTAGTTTATTTATCTTCTGCCTTCCATTCTCCGTGCTGCCCCAGAATCATCTTTCGAAAACACTGACCTGATGATGCTATTGCTCTATTCCCAAACTTTAAGTAATTCCTCCCTTTCTGTAATCCAGTCTCAATTTACATTTCCAGATCCAGCTGCCTTTACCTCCACCAATTCCATATGCCAGCCACTGTGGGTCTGGCCTTCCCTGGATACATCGTATATCCTGCGCCTCTGTACTCCCCTTTCTGCCTGAAAAGTCCTGCCTTAGCTCTGCTTCTCTGCCTGACTCACTCATACTTAGTTTTACAGAATTCATTCATACACGATTACTCAAATTTCAGTAGCATTTCTACACATATCACTTTATTCTGATAATCAGCATGAAATGTTGAATTGCAATGAGGATAGCAGAAAGATTTAGGTAGAAACTTTATTATGTTTTAATGTAAACCCACTTCAGCCTTCATGGTCAAATTTATATTTCTAGTTCCAGGACATTTATTCTTTACTGTTCAATAATTAGTTGTTAATTAGTGTATCTCCACTGTTAGATTTTTAAGCCCCAGGAAGCAGAGACTAAGATCATCACATTTGAAGCTTCCATAGGTTAGTGCCTCACACGTGGTAGATTTTTACTATATGTTAGACTGAACTAAAAATTCTCAAACATAAACTTAAAAAAAACCACAAGCCATAAACTCAATAATTTCATGTGCCTAAAATCAAATAATTAACATCCACCTGAATTTTAGTAAAGGAAGCAGAAAAGTCCCATTCTCTAATCCAAGATAATTTGTAGTCACAAATTGATTTAGGTTAAGGTTTTGCTCAATATTTACTCAGGTAAACAGTAGGCCTTGGAGGTTGCTTTCATTATTACAAAAAGTAAACCAATGAGATCCATTTAAAATGACTTGCAGATTTTGCTTTAAGAAAGTTTAAAAACAAAAAACAAACAAAAAAAAACAGATCAGCTTACCAATTTAGGTTCTGAGAAGGTACCAAGCCCGATGATAGGAATGCTGTTTCCATCACTTAGAGGTATGCGATGGTCTGCAGCACTGAGGTACATCTTGGAGAGAGTCTGGGGTTTCAGATACCCAGGAGTGGTTCTGAACACCATGGAAAGAATCTTTTTGACGACTACGTCCTAGGGCCCGTTTAATCAAAGAAAGGGCCAGAGGGAGGAGCAGTGGGAGGGAAGAGAGATTGACAGATCTGTTTCTCAACTTGTTTTCTTCCAGGTTTTTTGGAAATCCTAACTCAGATTGTCCTTTGAACTTTATCAGAGACATAAGTAACTCATCGAGAGTTTATGTCTGCTATAAAGAAAAGCTTGGAAAAAAACCCAAAAGGACCTGTTAATCTAGCTGGCTTCTACCTGTTAGAATGCTTTTGTTGCCAAGTAACAGGACTATTTCATATTCTCTTAAACTAAAAAGGAAATTTATTGCTTTATATTCCTGAAAACTTCAACCTTATGGCTAGCTTGAGGTGAGACTGGAGGGGTGTCCCAGACTTCCTCGAAAACTGATGCAGAGAACTAGGAAGGGGTCTGGGATTTTTATCATCTACTTAAGTTTGGGAAAACTGGACTAGAGGAACAAATGATACGTCCAGGAACCAGCTTCTCACTCTCCAGTTCTTTGCCTCCTCACTCTCTCAGCAGACTCTCCCCTTATCACTGAAAGATGGTAACCAGTCCTTGGGGTGACATGGTTCTGGGTTCGAACTTAATAAAAAAGACAGTTTACTCTTCTTCTTGTAGCCACCAGCCCCGGAAAGACACACGGACCACCAGAACTCAGTGAGTTACAGGAAACACGCTCTTTTTTCAGCCAGCTGGGTCTGCCAGGGGTACGCAGACCCCAAATTAAGCAGCCCCGAAATGTAGAGGTACAAGGTTTTTAAGCCCTAAATCCCATTCCTCATTCTGTCTTAAACACA